AAGTGTAAACTACTTTTTATGTTTACAACTAACAGGGACTGCATTTAGAATTATACAGTGGGTCCCAAAAAGTTTTATACAAATGGAAAAAAGTGTATCTTACACTTCAAAAAAAATCATTCGTGATAAAATCCATAATAGGCAAGACATTTGTATAATTATAAAAGTTCCAATACACTCTTTATGGTTTAATATTATTGAATAATATATATCAAAATCACTTAAAATAATTGCAATGATTTAAACTCAGTGATATTTTTTAATTCCTAGCAAATTTAAATTAATATTTTGCTCTAATAATGAAATTTAAAAGCAATTTAGTTTTTATTATAAATTAATATTTTTATTTTCCCTGTATACCAACTATATTTAATTCCCAAGTTTTACAAAACTTTTCATCAAGAATATTTGTTTTGTAAAATTTAAAATATACCTTTTTCCCATTTGTATAACATATTGAGAATGAATACATTTTTAAAGAAATTTTATGTAGGGATTTTTCAATCTATCTAAAATTTATTTTAAGAGTTGCTTTTTTCTTTCATGAGTTCCGGAATTTTATTTGCTAAACATCAGACAAATACTTTTAGCTTTCAATACCCATTTATAAAAAATTTCGAATTCCACTTATCTGTTAATCTAAAAGTTAACACAATATTCGCAAACAAAAACAACATTCGAGAACGAATTTGACATTACCCTGATTCCATACTCGACTTCAAGTGCTGATAAACGATAGAGAAACCTTACAGAATGTTTCAACAGCACGCCTCTGTTTAAACGACTCCATATTCACTTAAGAACAGTGCTTTACTTTTGTTGTTACAACATTACGGTTGCCTATTTTGAATTTGAAAGGAATGGCAGGTCACAAGGGAAACAGATTGTAATGATAAAGATAAAATTAGCTAGAAGCCAGTTTTTACAATATAATAAATTTGCATACGAATTCTACAGGGTGGTTAGTAGTTTGAAAGGCTTTCTGTAAATGTATAAAATTAAGCTTTTAGAGTTTAAATTGGTTCAACGAGGAATATTTGATGATTCAGAAGTATATTGCGTTATTATATATATTACCCAACAAGTGCCCAATTTCAAGTATTTCAACTACAGTTGAAATTTGTGAAAATTATACGTTTGCTGCAATTTTCATTTGTATTCATTAAAATATATTTATATACAAATAGTTTTTAAACTAACTATATACTAGATTTTTATTGTTATTGTCCGATTTCAATAATTCTTTTTTTGTTAGAAAGGGGCTACTTCAGGGGTGGTCCCATATAAATTAGGTTAACATCTAATAATTGGGTCCATGAGAAAATCCTCAAACTCTTCATTTTTTATGTATGTTTAGCGATAATGCTTTACCACCTTGTCCGATTTATATAATTCTTTTTTTTTTAGTAAGGGGGTACCTCAGGGGTGGTCCCATATAAATTTGGTTAAGATGTGGTGATGGCATCTGCACGTTTTTGAAGTCGGTTTTTTTAAATTTTTAATTTCTAATACTTGTTATTGTTATTGTATTATTAATTGGTTACCAAGGGCACAGAATAACGTGAGTCATAGAGCAGGGATTCTCAAACTATGTCTTTCAAATTTCTGACATTGCTTTTGTCAATAAAAGGAAATAATAGATCTATACTATACAATAACGTTTCAACTCCATTCGTAGGCCACCGTAAAGTCTCCGAACCGTGGGTAATACCACAGGATAAAGAACAATACAGAAAAGAAACATAGGGCTAAAACAGGAATCTAGCAACCGAAGCCACACCTTCTTCATGGTGGAGCATTGTCAAAAGTTAACCGTTTGGTACCTTAATCGATTAAAACGAGAGATAAAGATACCAGGCGCCTGTTTGCAACGACTTAAATAGAGATCGTAGATTTGATACTTGTTCGAAGTACAACAGTGCACACTTTTGTAGCAGATGAACCAAGCTGTCACTGCAGTCGCTATCAGGAAATTAATATTTTTTTGCCTGTTGTGTCTTTACTTGTCGTTTTGGATTTTTGGTTGTTTTTAGCGAATATTTTGATAACTTTTACGTTTTTTTAGTGGTTTATTTTTAGTTTTTGTTGCTGTTTTTAATTGTGGAGTGCTAATTTAAGACTATTTTACCTATTAAGATTAGCTTTATAAACAATGCGTCAAAGAAGGATTGTTCACTGTTGTAAAAGATCCAGTGAGGTATGTATGAAACATTGAGGGTGATTGTAGTGCCTCAGTTGCACTACATGCCTTCCTACTTTAACTAGCTTCATAAATAAAAGGTACGTTGTTGAAAAAGAAGAGACCAGATGGTTGTCACTCTCAAGACATTGCATATAACCAAAAAAATAAAAATAATGACATAAAAGAGCAACAAAAATGTCATAAAATGTTGGAAGTTCTTTGTGTGCTCGCCAAACGAGACGCGAGCACCACAAATACTCCCCCTCTCTTTTAAGTATCCGATAGGTTTTTCTACTTGAAGAATACTACCGTTGATACCATTTTAGCCAATTACTCTTGTTTTATACCAGGACGTCACATTGTCCTAGGTAGAAAAGCCAAGGTCAATTACGGTCACGGTCCTTTCGCATATATGTGTGAGTACTCGAGTCCTTTAGCTTGTGGCCGATTTGGCCTTTATCATGTGGACACATGTTACTTTAGCACATATATGTAGACTGTGTCCTGTGCAAAATGCTAATTGCATGTGTTTTGTATGTTATGTTTTTGTATTACGTTTGTCCATTAGATTTTGTATTATAGTATTTGTATTATTTGTTGTGTGATTTAAAATAAATGATATATTTGTTTTGGAAAAAGTGTTTAGTTAAAACTATAGTGTCGCAGTCAGTAGAAAGGTTAAACTCACTCCTGTATACTGCAAGAAGCTGGTCTTTGCCACCGCTGCTTTTGCTGCTGCTATTGCCGTTGCTTCTGCAGTTCCGTAGTGGTTTCTATGGCTGGTTTTACTGCTGTTATTGCCGTTGCTGCTGCAGCTCCGTAGTGGTTTCTATGAGTGGTTACATCGGAAGTGCGTTTCTCTTGGGGTTACCAATGTAGGTTCCATGCGTGTTGTTGTCATGGTCGCCAATTGTGGGAACTTTTAATTGTGTGCATCCCATTATAAATTATTTGTAGATAAATGTAAAATTATTTATTGTAGATAAAAATGGATGACATGTCATGTATAGTAAAAATATAAAAAGTCATAATAATGATATTCAATAAATATTCGATCGTGGCGTGTCGTGGCAACGGGCGTAGCCAAGGAAGTGAATTTAACCTTTCATTACCAAAGCTACTACATAATGAAGAGTACTTGAAAAAGGTGATGAGTTTGTACTTATGAAGCTAGCTAAGGTAGGAAGGTATGTAGTGTAACTGAGGCACTACAGTGAAATAGGAATTGACCTTGCCATAACATTGTAGTACAATGATTGTATGTATTCAGACTTGAATTGTGGCTTGAGACAGTAAACAGAGAAGACTTATTGGCAAAGAATGTTGAACATTTAAGCAAAAATTACAAAATTTGTAAATTGAACTTCTAGGATAAATCAGTCAGGAACAAGAAAACGATTATTTGCAAATGCATTCCCAACAGTATTTCCCCATTTAGAACCTTCGAAAAGAGTCAAAGTTTTGCAAGGTAAATAAATAAAATTTATAGTTAAATGTTACAGAAAGTTTGCTACTCGTCTTGCTTGTCATTTTTTTTACATTACATTTAGTAGTTTAAAAAATAAAATGATAAGTACTAATAATCTTGGAATATCAACCCATACATTCCATTTTATAGAACTACCTCGGAGGTAAACTGTACTATGTCGACATACAACAACTTGTGGCAAATTAAAATAAAACAGTTTTATTAGTTAGTAAAAAATACAAATATTTTGACAATAAATGGGTGTCTAAATGCATATTTAGTTGGCATTTAATAATTTAACAACATTCAATCTGCTGTACTAAAAAGTTGACTAGAATTACATAGTGCAGTTTAACTCCTAGGAACAGAAATATATTCATATTTTACGAAATTATTTTAAATTTCATCTGGCTAAAAAGTGTGCCTCAAACATTTAATTCTGACAAATGATTCTTGACACTAGTTGATCTGATAAAAATTTGGTTTCTCTTTCTTTTTTTTTAGAGGAATTTGTTGTTCATGGCAAAGAAGGCAAAGACAACTTGTGTCTACTCTCAACTTCAGCAGAAGTAAAATCTATTGAACAAGTGCATAGTCAACCATCTGTTCCTGTACCTTGTGTAACATCACAAATTCAAACGAGTAGGGTGTTAATTAAACACTTCAAAAAAGCAGAGACTGCGACTGAAGATTGCAAAGCTAAGGAAATGTTTGTTTGGTGCAAAAAAGAAAAAAAATAATTACTCATTATTTATAATTTTTTATAAGTACCGTTTATATAATTATTCTATATTTTTGTTGTATATTAGGATGTACCTATTTTAATAAAGCTACTTATCTATGTATTATAAATTAGGCTTGCTCTATAAATCTGTATAACCAATTTTAATTATTTTAATTTTCAGACACATAAAACGATTTTGTTATGTTATGAATACTATGTAATAGTTTTAACAAAATAAGCCATAGGTGTGTGATCCTTTTTTTAGACAATATAAGTCTAATTAAACATGTACCTAATTTGAGTACATAGTTTCTCAACTGTTTTTCTACCGTTTTTACAATATAAATAAACTATTGTTTAAAACTTTATACTTTTTATTTTTGAAACCTCTGTCGGAAGTGCTACAAATCGAAAAATATTTTACTTAAATCAAGAATAGTTTAAAATGCATTCATGCAAATTTTCATAAAATATGACACATAATTCTATAAAAGAGAAATGTAGTTTTCGCAGTGTAGCTACGTTCGCGTGTACTGTGAATAGTTACGTTTTCTTAGAGTATCTCTGTAGTGGAACCTTAGACCATCTAGTCTAAGAGTGGAACTGAAGGTCAAATATTTCTGTCCCTTCTACTTCAAAGTTCCGACCATTACTTTCTTTTCTGTATTGTTCTTTCTTCTGTATTAATACCAACAATGATACCAACATGCAAATCTAAATGTGAGAGTGACAAAAAATGTCAACATGTCAAAGTCGACGTTACGATTTAAAAATTTTGATATTGCCGTTCCAAAATTGTCAGTGTAAGATGGATCTGGATGAGCAGCCATTTTGGATAAACTTTCGTGCTGATTCTTTCAGCTCTACTTCAGAAGATTTGGAACAAAAAGAAAAAAATGATACCACCAAAGCGTATTACTTGAAAACTCTAAAGAATATAATTAACCAGATAAATAAGCTGCTTCAGAAAGCTTACAAGATAGAGGAAACACTCATAAACGCAGTTTTCAAAATGGATTCTGAGACTATTAATGAATCTTTAAAAGAATATCAATATGGATGGTTGCCTTCAAAGGACTCTCTGTTATCCAACATAGGTAGTTATAGTAAGATATTTTTTCCTCGAATTAACGACTATACTAATATTTTAAATCGACATAAGCAGCTAATCTTATCATCAGAAGGGCGTCAGACGCATGCGCATTGAAAATAGTCGGTTCCTACAAAGCTACGGATAATCCAATGAACTATCAGTAAAACTTTCCAGCGTATTTTCTGATTCGTATATGCGTCGGAGGAAGTAAATCGCTTGTACGAACGTCTCTTCTCGTTCGTGCTATTTTTGTGCTTTGTTATTGTTGTGGTTTCCACTTAGCTTGGAGTGGCATGGGTTTTTATTTCTTTCAATTGAAATGACTAATTTTTGTTTTTATGTTGTGTACGTTTTTTTAAGTAAAATAAACATCTTAAGGTTTAAAAATTATACATTTACATAGATGATTCGAGACAGCTAAAGAAATGTATTATGTTGTATTTTAAATAATGTTAAAAATACCAATTTAGTATTTACGTTATTATGGAATTCATAAAGCTTGGAGAAACTTTTTATCTCGTTTTTATCATAACAAAATAGTCAATTATCGTCATTAGAAGTTTTCTTTCTAAACTCAGCCGCAATTTTGGATTCAGTCAGAAAAGTTCAACTTGGTATACAAATAATTATTTTAAAGAAAATTAATTTTATTTGTATAGGTTTTGTTCAAGTTTTACTGTGTGGATAAAATCAATGAAATACGAAAATTTTTATTGTTACTTATTATAGGTAATGGTGAACTCAAAGAAAATAAAATAGAAGAAATCTTGCCAAATGTCTACACTAATCTTCAAACAGTATCTGCAGGACTGGAGCTGATGCTCGAACACGAGAAGTATAATGAGTTCGAAAGATTGAAATCTTATCTAAGATCAGTCCTTTGTGAAATATACACCGCTCTCAGGGAATGTCAGCTGAATTTACCAGAAGATGTTTCACGTTCGGTAGTGCCCCAAGAAATCCGCAACATGATTGAAATTCCAGAAACTAACATACGAAATTGGATTATCTTTAGAAATTTCATTGATACATTGAACGGTGTCACGGACATTTTTTTAAGATTCTTGTCGAACATTTCGGATGAGTAAATTTTATTATCGCCCATTTCTCTTTTATTCTCGTGCTATTATAATTTTTATTTTTTTAATTTCTTAACTGAATAATTAGGTGTCAATGCTCCTTTGAATTTTAATTTTCAATTTCAATAATATCGATCTTTTATTATAATTTTCATCGAAAACATTTTATTATGACAATCGTTTCAAATTTTAGCATCAGAATAAAAACATGTCAGCGGTATATTTAATTTTATTAACAGAAATAGCCAGAATCAGCATATTTTTGAAGTTGCAGGAGCGTTAAACCTTTGCTAATCTGTTATACTTTGACAAACGTTTAAACTGTAAATAATGTGAAATTCATATCCTTGGGACATTCTCATGTTCCAATAAAATTTAAGAGAACATTAATGTTTACTATTACGTATTATTGGGTAACCCAACAAAATTATATTTTTTATTGAATTAAAATAGGATTGTTATTTTTGTTTATACACGGAAAAAAAATTGTAGAACAAATTTCTACAATTATAGATTTTTCTCTACAATAAATAGTACATATAGGGACAGGGACAATTTGTAGTAAAAATTTCCAAATATTTGTGGAGAATGTATTGTAGAGTTATTATCTACAATATTTAGTAAAAATATCCAAATGCATCATAAGAATTGTTCTACAAATTGTTATAATTTTTGCTATTCATTGTATGAATTTCTATTAAAAATGTATTGCGTTTTATGAAAATAAATACGAAAATTTTACACAATAAATAGTAAAAATTCATACAAATTGTAGTAATTTTTAATAAAATTTGTAGTAGTATTCCATAATTATTATAATTATAACCTAGAAAAAAATGTTCCTTAATAAAATATTCAATTTATTGTTTTAATATAAAAGATACAAAGTCTTAATTACATTATGTAATAAATAACAGTAATAATAGCGCCCTCAGTCTCAGTTGGCTTTTCTGCACCTGAAAAATATGAAATAAAAATAAATACCAATTGAACTGTTCATACCCTTAAAACGGGGATATTTATCACCTTTAAAGTGATTTGAATATTAAATGAGTCAGATAAGTTAGATAACTAACAAAAATGAGAAAGTAGGTATGTCACAATTAAGACAAAAAAACATCATTGAACTTGGCACAAAATTTGATCGTTGGGCACAACATTCGATCGTTGGCCACAACTATTTTTTGAAAATAATCTACTAAGGTTATTTAAATTAGTTATCTAAAGGTAAATTATTCAGAAACAATAATAAATGTACTTACCACCAATAGAATTTATTATTAAAATTTTCTCAAACGCATCGGTGCTTATAATATAATAATGTGTTATAGGTACTCGTATATGTACCATGCTTTGTTTTGTGAACATGGCCATTTATGATCGACGTCAGAAAACGTTGGCCAATAGCAGAATTCTGTTTTGTTCACATGACTTAGAATTCCTACAATATTATAGAATATTTTTGAATAAAATTGAATTTTTTTCATAAGAAGGGATGTAAAGTATTACTATTTTTTGTAGAGAAAATTACTATTTTTTTGTAGAGATAATTATTAACATTTGTACAAATTTTTACAGAAGTTAGTAGTAGTAATTACGATAATTGTAATAAATTTCTACTTCTACAAACAATAGTAAAATATACTAAACATTGTGGACTTCTTTCCTATTGTTGTAGCATTTTATTCGACAATTCAATTGCTACAATAATTAATAGTTTTTAACTATAAATTGTAGTAAAATTTTCTACAAATTGTTAAGTATTTTTCTACAAGTCTACTACTACAACATTGTAGTAAAATTTTCTAGTCACATTTTTTTCCGTGTATGTGGTTATATTTGAAAAAAAAAACATTTTTTGCTTCATTTTCCAACTTTAATCAATTATTATAATTTTTTGGGTGTTATTCCTAATACGCTACATATACAAGCAAAATCATACCTTCGGTTTTGCTTTGATCGTGTTGGAAGTGAATAGTAAATGACGCTTGCACATGCCAATGTCTTAATCAACTGTAAGGAGAGCAGTATCAAAAGCAAACGTAGCTACAGTAGCTACTTCTTGAGGAACTCTAGTTATTGTTCCTTTTAAATTAGATTTGTTGTCTGTCTACTTGATTCTGAGAAGCCTATCTGAGATCGAGAGCATTCTATTTAATTTGTGAACCAAATATTCATCTCACACCTTGTTAAATGCTTAAGCAACATCTAAAAATACTGCAGAGTAGACTTGTTTTCCTTCAGGTGCATACTCTATGACAGGGATTCCCAAAGTGGTCGATACCGACTCTTTAGGGTCGAAATCGGTTTCCCAGGGGTCGATATAAACGAAAACTGATTTTGGGGGTCGATGATATCTAAAAATCGACCTCTATTAATAAACACAAATTCTTATTTGAAACTTTCAAGATACTGCATAAGTTGTTATGTGCTAATATTGTTTTATTTTCGTTAAAAACTATTTATTTGTTTATTTTGATAGTACCCAAAAAGGGAATATTAAGAATCTAAATTTTTTAAGTGTTTAATTATGGGAAGTTGAAGTGAGGGTGATTTGCTGACTGGCAAAATGTCATACTATATACAGGGTGTTTCAGAATAAATTACCGTAAAAAGGGGGATTTGTAGGTAGATCTTAACTAATTATTAAGAAAAGCTAAATGTAATTTTCCTGTAAACGCCCCAGTTTTCATTATACAGGGTGATAAAGTGAATAGGGGGATGATTTGAGGGTGATTTACAGCCCGGCAAAATATTTTTTTGAGATATACATTAGGTTGAGCACATAAATATTATCAAATTTATATAAGAAAAGTTTCATTTCATTCCAATTTAAGCATGCAAATATTTTTTAAGTGTTTAATATAAAGGCTTGTTTTGAGGGTAAATAATTTTTTGTAATATAGATACATACGATTTATTACAGTTTGTATACAATATAGAATATTGTTTCACGAGTGACGAAAAAAATGATTTTCGACGAGTAAAACACTATACTTTTTCTACAAACTCTATTATGTCATGTAGGTACCTACTAAAATGAAAAAAAAAAACAAACGTTAGCAAATGCTTTATTTTGTGTTAGGAATAACAAAAAATTAACCAACAATTAAATATTTCAGAAATATTATTAATTATTTAAATATTGACTTATTGTTATATTTGAACAATTGTTCAAAATTATGGGGGTATCACACTCAAGCTTTTTATTTATTGAGGTAGATGCCGACATATTTGTTCTACTGTTAAATGTCATTTCAGATGATGAAGCGCCATAATCGGATGAACTAGTAGTTTTCTTATTTTGTATAGATTGTAAAATTTTGGTTTGTATTTGGTTTTTACTGTTCGTGGATTCATCAACATATCCTTCCGCAACACTACTAGATTTCCAACCACCGTGCTTTTTTAACAGAAGCAAGTCACCTCCTGCATCCACTAATAGCGTTGCGGATGTTCTGCGGAAACAGTGCCCAGTGTAATCTTGAGGATTCGGAGGCGTTAAAAACTGAGCAATTTCGTTAGGAAATTTACTGATTTTATTAATTCCAACAACCTGTCTGCTACACTTTCCAATCTGATAGTTAATAAAGAATCTTGAATTAATTTGATCCATGTTTGCGGGACGTAGATTCATATATTTTTAGAAATATCATAAAAGGGTCCAGAAATATGAAAAGAACGCGGAACTTTTGTTTTTGTATTACGGATTTAAACTAAGAGAATACATCCAGTATCCTTTACATCGCTTTTTGTTAAATCTTTTAGTTCGTGGCAACGACAAGCGCCAGATAATCCAAAAACTAATGCTACCTACAAATATTAGTAGTTATGTATTAAGTAATTGTTAAAATAAAAATAATAATTCCGTTACCTTTGTTATTAAATATTTAATGTCAGGTGCATTCTTTAAGAAAGTCTTTATGTCTTCAGGCGAAAAAATTTTGGATTTTTGGCTTTTAAAACCATCAGATTTTCTTTTCAAAAGCGAACGTAACTTTGGATATTTACTAATATCGACATCATTTTTAACAGAGAGTGTAGTTCTTAGCATCGAATAAATGGACCATAACGTCGACGGTTTAAAATTTGAACATATTTCTCCAAAGTATGCTAGTAGTACAGTTTCCGAAAATGATTTCACTTTATTTTTTTCTCTCCAGTCCAAAAATTTGACATAAATTTCTTCATATCTCTTTTTTGATTTGGCCGGTAATAAATCTGAAGAGGTTTCTTCAGCTTTAAAAATAATTTCTGGGGGAGTGCAATCGCTTTCTGACTCAGACATCATGAAAATGTGTTAAATTTAGAACGAACTGAAACTGACAGTTCTCAAAAGTGATAAAACTTCAAATAAACAAATGAAAACCAGGAAACTAGATGTAGATTGGTTTAATTTGCACTATTTTTATACATTTTTATTTTATCTTTAATTCATTAAAGTTTAGGTAAAAACCACTGATCTGTATTATTTTACTGGATAGGATATAGCCCCCTAAAAAACGTTTCGAAAAATTGGCCGATTTGGGCAAATAATATGGCGGACCGGATGTTATTTAACGTAACCTCTATTTCCATTTGTCATCACATTTGTCATTTAATTGTGTCAACAAGCTACGATATGTTTTTATTGTGGAAAACAAAGTAAAAAGAGTATGAAATAAACAATAAACGTTCATTCCTGAAGACACAATATGCTTCACGTTTCCATTTTTATATTTTCTTTCACAAAAAATCAAATCATGGGTGAATTTTCCCGAAGGACATCACCCGCAAAAGGAATAGAAGAAGAATAAGAAGAAAAACTAATCAAATTATAGTTTAGGTATGTCAAATTATCCCAAATTTCAGTTCTGTGAACCCACCATAATTTGCCCAAATCGGCCAGCATTGTTGCACTTCCGGTCTCCTTGGTGGAACGGTTTTTTAGTATGTTAAATATAGCCTATATCCTATCCAGTAAAATAATACAGATCAGTGGTAAAAACGCATATAGAATTTAATGAGCATCATTTTATTTCATTATTAATAATTATAAGCTGCCAAAATATTATACGAGGCGACTGATATATGAAAATATGTAACACCAAGGTGCCTATTCTTGACGGTGATAGAATAGAAGAACCGAGAGAAAATTGGCGTGATTCTACTGAAATTTCAAACACCGTATTATTGACAACGTTTCTATTGAAAAACCGATAGAAAATCCGTTCACAGTAAAGCAAGATACTTTTCTTAATTTTTTGTAAGAGAACAAAGGGTCTTTTGTTTTGAAACTCGAGCGAGCGTCG